TTTGAAATTTAATTTTCTTATAGTGGGATAATAGCACTTTAGGTTCCTTCTGTTAGTATGTGCCTCTTGTTCAAGATAACCAAGGCTTGTTATGGCCTTTTCTGCAGGCACAGAAGATTTCAGATGATGTGTTTTTTTGTTCCCTGGAGAAAGAGCATGTGCAGAGGAAAGAGAAATAGCACAGGAGTCAGAAGGCACCAGTTCTGGCCTTGGGAATGCGTGGAATCTAGGGGGAGGAACTCAATTTCTTCACTTGTTCTGGATGTTTATTGATGGCCATCCTAATGGATCAAATGTGTGGGAACCATATGCCAAAAGCCTCGGAACCAAGTTGCAAACTCAAATGCCCACAGGGGCTGGGCAGTTAACCCAACGGAATGAAGTAGGCTGGGTAATTTTGACACAGACGTTCTTTGCTTCATAACCACTTAAGACTTATTTCTGATTATTACCAAAAAGTATATTCTCCCATTTTTTTCTTCAAACACATGAACCTACAGACTATCTTTTGTTTTTTTGCATTTTATAGAAACATGGCATAACAAATATTTCTCGTTTCTCTTAACTGTATCATTGGAAAAACATGCATCACGAGCATGCTGCTGGCTCTCAGCTCAGTGGTGGGGATACATACAGAATGGGAAGGGCTGTGGTGAACTGATGACTGCACGCCCAGTCTCAGTGGTATATACTCCTTAACCCAAGACAATTATTGCCATGAGAAATGCTGGCTTGGTCTGGAGAATTTTTCCAACTGCACTTTTTAAAGAGAAGCCAGAAGTCTGTATGTTCATATGAAATCTCCAGATTTCTAAACTTTGAACATTCCAAATGACCAAGAACTGCATATGCCAACAGAACATATGTGGACTGCATACAAGATCAAGGGCTGCCTTTCTGAGAGCTCTTTAGGGTTTATACAGTCTTTTCTCTTTCACATCCCAGAGCTCTTTCCCATCTCTTCCCACCATTGGACCCTTGGAATTCAAAGGGAAAAAGGCAGACACTTACTATGGAGCTGCTGAAGGCCACAGGAGGTGGTGAGCTTTCACAGCACCCCATGGACCTTTGTCGGGAGTGGCCCTGGATGGGCACCCGGGCACTCTGGGACCTCCTCAGAGGCTGGGCACCTCCTTGGCTTCTCACTGTTGCTGGACCCTGGGCCCATCTGGCTGGGAAGGTCAGGCATTGGTATTGGGTCCACTCTTCACTGTCTGAGTCCAGCTCCTTTGGGGTCTCTAGTCGCTTGGCTGCAAGAAAGGATTCCTGTTGTACCAATCATACCTTGACCAGGCTATGGTCGAGGGGATCCTGGACCTTGGGGGATGAGGGTAAGAGCACAGGAAGGGCTAATGCTGCCCTGAAAAATTGGCAACTGGGCTACTGAGACTGGAGAAAGAGGGGTGCAACTAAGTCCCACAGGTTCAAATCCTGGCTTTGCTACATACTGGTTCTGTGATCTTGAGCTTTGATTTGCCCCTTGTCTCTTTTTCCTCAATTAGGAGTTTTTAAAAAGTAACTGACCCATAGGGTTGTTTTGAAAATATAATGATATAATGTGTTAAAGTGATTAGCATATTCTAAATATTAGTAATGGTAGCTGTTACTATTATTAAAAGAGATCAGAAGCTCCCATGTAAATGGTTAACTATCACCATAGCAAAGGGGCTGCCTATAATGTCCCCTTTTTCTCTTTCTCCATCCCTCCCATCTGAGAGAGTGAATGGTGCTCTCTTGAGAGTTTCTTTTCTAAGTTAGAAAGTGTGCATATTTATGGAGGAGGTGGTTGAAGAAATCAAGTCAGTTTTATAGACCACCCTCAGTCCGCACAAGATAACATCCAGGCATCTCATAGCCTGTCTCCTAAATTAAAACCTCAGTAAAAATCAAAAAGATCAGTTATCATTGAAGGCATTTTCCGTATGTTTCAAATCTGACCATGAGCCTAGACCTAGACTTGTCCTGACATGTCAGGTAAGGTGACCTGAGAAATTCCTAAACCTTGGCTATATGACTGGCACATGACTGAGACATGTCCCCAAGCCATTCCTGATGGATAAAAATCCTGTGTTGCAAATGGTACCAGACAAAGATTGACTGGAGGGATACCCCATATGGGATCACTTATAGCCTTTGTGAACAAATGAGAGTTTACAGGTGATAAGAACACACTGATCTGTGACAAGGAAGACCACAGGGATACAGAAAGTAACTTGCCAAAATGCCACCCAGACTGTGTGGGGAGCCAGGTTAATGTCTTTTGTCTCCTTTTGGGAGAGCAGGGCATTTCCTTTTAGAAAAAGGGATGAAGGCCCTTGGGAGTCCTTGTACCATTTTCTTGGTGAGAGTACTCGCTGCCCATGATAGTGCAACGCCGGAACACCATCTTGTTCTCTGTCAGGGTTCCCGTCTTGTCGGAGAAGATGTACTGGATCTGGCCCAGGTCTTCAGTGATGTTGAGGGCTCGACACTGAATGGCTGAATCTGTCTCTTCATCATACAGGTCAAGGTCGTTGTTCAGGAAGAACACTTGCCCTAGCTTCACCAGCTCGATGGACACATACAAAGAGATCGGGATCAGCACCTGAGGGGAGATAGATTCCCACGGTGTCAGAAACCAGGTGTGTTCCCCGTCTCAGGACCCTCACTAGTAGGCAGCAAAGGCATCTAACGGAGAGCTGAGGTCAACTCACAGGATGGACTTGCTCTGAGAAATTAAAGGTCAATGACTTCACATCCCCCCTTAGAATTCTTAGAGGAATTTGAGAAAGATTCAACCAGGATGTCTGGTATGAGGTACAACCACTGCTTGTTTAATGACTGAGCTATTAGTGGGGGAAGGAGCTTTAGAACCTCTGTCCAGAGTCCCCTGACCTCGCTCTGATATCTATGCCACCGAGGGCTGCCACCCACTTTTATAGATACTCAGACCCACTGCTAATGACTGTCCACTGACTCAATACCTAATTTTCATGAACTGCTGCTGTGTGTCAGACCCTGCTGTAAGTCCTAGAAATGAGAGTCAAGAGAATAAAATCCCTGGCCTTGAAGAACTCACATTCCAGCGACAGTAAACAAACAAATACATATCAGAATGGTGGTAAGTCTCATGAAAAAGAGTAAAGAAAAGAAAAGAGGGTATAGAGTGATGGCTGGGAGGGACTCTTTTATAAACTACAACCTTTGAGCAGATAACTGAGGGTGTGAGTCCTGAGGTTATCTGTGGGAGGAGCGTTCCAGGCAGAAAGAAAGCCCAGGCCAGGCGGGCAGTGGGGGCGGGCTGGGGCGTGTGGGGAGTGATGGAGAACAGGCCTTGTACGTGAGTGAGGGGGAGGAGAGAGGTAGGAGACAGGGTCAGGGAGGGAGTCAAGGTCCAGATCATTTAGGGCCTTGTTGGCCACGGAAAGGACTTTGGATTTTACTTTGAGTGGGTATGAAACCATTGGAGGATTCTATACAGAGGACAGGATGGGGGTGTGATCTGATTCACATTTAAAAAGATTACTCTGCTGGCTGAATGAATGAGTGAATGATTAAAAAATATTCACCAATAAAAGGGCAGTAAAACAACCTCAAATACTACAAGAAATCTAACGTAGATGAAGCTTCTCCAAAGCAAAACTACAACTTCCCTTGTCTTTTTGTAGACTATTCTCTTAGAGAACATGAAGATTTTTAAAAATTGATCTCTTTGTCCCTTATTGTCTCTCATTTGTAGGTTCTGTCTATGGTTTTCTTTTTTTTTTTCTTTCTCCTATGTAAGGACAATTCTGTTCTTTTCCATCTCAAACTATCAAATGGTAAACCACTAACTCATAGTTTATTTTTCTCCAATGCTTGGTGGGCTTGCAAGTTCTCTGTAGCCCACTGTAGCTATTTTATCATCTTTTGTTCCCAGGTCATTAGTGTTACACCTGTTCTGTGTCTGGCAAAGGGACAGGTACACATGGCCACTGCTGTAATCCTACTCTTCGATAAAAAAGGCTGATAAATATTTTCCTCCAGCTGTTATCTGGGGAGCAAGGTCCTCTCCACAAGGCAGGGATGGTCCTGACATGACTCCAAATGTGTACTTCCAAAGACCCACAAAAAAGGAATAACCATCTCCTAATCTCAGTTGAGTTAGTTCTTTCTTGAGGGCCAGCACTGATTTTTCTTTACTTTGGAAAATTGTGGGGGTATTGGCCATAGGTCTTCTTGGGCCCCTAGTTAGGGAGGGCTTTCTACCTGCAGCAGGATAATCATTATGAGGAACACATAGAAGCTCTCAAGGGCCACGGAAGTGTAGTTGCCGTTGTCATCTGGCACATCAAAGGGAGGGTGTTCTTCAAAGGTCCCATTCCAGAGGCTGTGACCTGAGAGGAGCGAAATCAGGGATGAGGCAGAATCTCCACTTAGTCTTAAAGTTGGTCAATTACATCAGCCTTTGACTCATTCCTAGAAATGGGTGTGCTTTGAAGGGGCCCATACTTATTCTATACAACACAGCTTTCCCTCTCTCTTTCTGTATTCTTCGAGGACTAGAGTGGTCTTTCATACATCCCACATTTCAATCCCTTAATAGGAATTAAGTCTGTTTATCAGAGAAGACTATGCACTTACCTTTTGAAGAAGTCCAGTTATACAGGGGTTGGAAAGAGAGAAAGGGACACGTGTTCTTTTTGGTTGTGAGATGGAAAGTGCATCATGGGGAATGTTGACAGACTTGTTCCCTAGTTCTTCTTCTTCCCCCATCCAATACTTATCTACTCATGCACTCATTCACTTATCCATCCATTCACCGATTCATTCACCCACATGTACATCATCCACCCACCCACCCACCCACCCATCTACCCATCCATCCATCCATCCATCCATCCATCCATCCATCCATCCATCCATCCATCCATCCATCCATCCATCCATCCATCCATCCATCCATCCATCCATCCATCCATCCATCCATCCATCCATCCATCCATCCATCCATCCATCCATCCATCCATCCATCCATCCATCCATCCATCCATCCATCCATCCATCCATCCATCCATCCATCCATCCATCCATCCATCCATCCATCCATCCATCCATCCATCCATCCATCCATCCATCCATCCATCCATCCATCCATCCATCCATCCATCCATCCATCCATCCATCCATCCATCCATCCATCCATCCATCCATCCATCCATCCATCCATCCATCCATCCATCCATCCATCCATCCATCCATCCATCCATCCATCCATCCATCCATCCATCCATCCATCCATCCATCCATCCATCCATCCATCCATCCATCCATCCATCCATCCATCCATCCATCCATCCATCCATCCATCCATCCATCCATCCATCCATCCATCCATCCATCCATCCATCCATCCATCCATCCATCCATCCATCCATCCATCCATCCATCCATCCATCCATCCATCCATCCATCCATCCATCCATCCATCCATCCATCCATCCATCCATCCATCCATCCATCCATCCATCCATCCATCCATCCATCCATCCATCCATCCATCCATCCATCCATCCATCCATCCATCCATCCATCCATCCATCCATCCATCCATCCATCCATCCATCCATCCATCCATCCATCCATCCATCCATCCATCCATCCATCCATCCATCCATCCATCCATCCATCCATCCATCCATCCATCCATCCATCCATCCATCCATCCATCCATCCATCCATCCATCCATCCATCCATCCATCCATCCATCCATCCATCCATCCATCCATCCATCCATCCATCCATCCATCCATCCATCCATCCATCCATCCATCCATCCATCCATCCATGCATCCAGAGTGGGTAGGAGCTTCAGTGAAGGCCCCTCTTTGCCTACACTTTGAGGATCAACTTAAGTGACTGCCCCCACTGCTGTCTATACCACTGGCCATGCTCCACACTCCATACTCCAGCAGCTGTAGAACTCGGGCCATAGCCTGGTTCTGATTAGGCCTCCATTTCTGGCCTTCTCTTGCCACACCAAACAGCCAACTCCTCCTCTGCATCAGGTGATTCTCTTCCTACCTCTGTGATGCCCTTGGGGCTGAGAGTGGCCTCTCTGTTTCCCCTCACAATTGCCTGCCCCATCCTGCCCCTAAACTTTCCNCCATCCATTTCTCTGTTTACCCATTCATCTCTCTCTCTATCGAACATTTATTAACCCAAGAGGGAATCAGTCTTAGTTCCTGTCCTCGAGGATTTCCCTACCAATGTAGGGAGCAGACATAAAAGGAAAAATCACATACAGTGTGAGAGGTGCTATGCCAGAGTTTGGAGTGCTATGGAAGTCCATAGTAACAGCACCAGATACAGACTGAACTCTGTTTCCTTATCTGCAAACAGAGATAACAGCACCCATGATCTGAGGATTATGTAAGATAATACACGTTAGATCCAGCACCCACTGCAGAGCTCTCTAAGCCTCAGTGTCCTCATCTGCCAATTAGTAATAATGCTTCCCCCACAGGGTTATTGTGAGAATAGAATAACCTAATATGTGTAAGACTCTCAGATCCAGAGAAGAAACTGTAGGAAATAAAAGGCTGCCCTGCTTGAAGGTACTTCCTTGCCCAGGAGGTTGGACCAGATGCCGTTATACGTGGG